GATCCGCGGAAGGCAAGGTTTCGCGTCCGTGCTCTCTCCCGCCTTGAAGCCTTGGCTTGTGTCTGAAAAACTTCAAGCAGAGAAGATCAATGGACTCGACACTTGTGGCTTGGACGTTTTGTACATCGCCTGCTGACCTGTATTATGTATACTTTTCTCCGAGACTCCCGCTCGCTTACTTATGACGGTCCCGCTATACAAATGCTTCTTTCTTGTGTGGCCACCGTCGTCCCTGTCTGCTGTGACTCCCCCGATCAGCTTTCACTTAACCCTGGATCAACCTCCCGATGTCGATGTCGCTTTCTAGCTCATAGTAGTTCGTCTTCTCATACCCTCTGCCCTGTTTTCCGAGTCGTGGCCACCAATGTCGTACTTTCTCTCTCTAATCCCTCGTTCGGTCCGTCTTCCAGTCCGAGGTAGAGACAGAGACGTCATAGTTGGGTGGCCAACCGATGTCATAATCCGCTCATTATGTGCCTATTCCCTCGCTGGGTCCGATGCCGATATACCCTTGACCCCGTCGTATCGTATGTCGTCGCCATTAATCGATTAGTTATGCTTACTATCACCTCGGGCGATTCTTTTTTTTTTGTGTGGCCATGACAAGTATATTCGCCACTGCCAGTCAATCACTATGTCATTGTCTGTCGTGAATTCTCGGGCTGCGTGGGGAATCGTCGTTCCTCATGATATAGGCATGGAAGTGGAATAGAGTTGGCCCTCTCCAGAGTCCACCTAGCGATACCGGCCGCTAACGCCACACCGCGACCCCCAATGATAACGGCGTTCATATTTCCAAATTCCAAATCCTTCGTACATATTCACACCGCGTAACCCTTAGATACACGCCCTACTGCCGCAATATGAATGAATTCTTTTTCAATTTCAATTTATTTTCATTCGGTCGTTCGTGAATCGCAGTACTAAATACATGAACATCCGGTACAACACAGAGACTCTCTGTGTGTGATACAGCTCAGTGATAACCAAGAAAGACGCAAAACGGTTGGTGATAAATGACAGGAAGAGGGGAGTGAGAGGTGTGGGAAAGGACAAGTATATACAATGAATGAATAATAATAATAAAAAGAACTCTACGCCAGCGAGAAGCCCTCCCATTGCGCAATTCCAGGCTGCGGGAAACTGAAATCCATGAGGTCATTGAGATACTCGTTCGGAAGGTTTGTGGAAAGATAGTAATCGACGGTGTTATCAACCGCTACAGGACTGGCCTCTGGGAAAAAAGAAGCCGGGGAACTGTACTCGATGGGAGAAGTGCAGGGGGTGTAGTCGTAAGAATACGTCTCGGCGGGAGAGGGGTAGAGGAAGGAAGAAAAGTCGGACTGGGCAGGAGAGAAACAATCGTACGAGTTAGGAGACTCGGGGTAGTACGACGAATTGTTGGTGCAGAGAGAGTTGAGGAATGCCGCATCAAGATCGACAACTGGCGCCCCAAACTCGGTGGACACGATAGGTGCAGCTGGTTCAAGAACAAGGGGGGGAGGTGGGGGAGGAGGGGGAGTCGAACGCTCGCGTTTCTACGCCAACCATTAGAAAATTCCACCGAAAACAAACACGGAAAACATACCACGGAAGACGTTTTCCTCGCCCTCTCCTCCTTGCCCTTTTCTTGCCTAAATGCACTCTCGGTAATCGGCACCTCAAATCGCGTAATAATCTCCGGGACGTGCGTCTTGTCAAACTCCTTGATCGCCTCGTCCAACTGAGCGCCTTTCAATCCTTCCACAAGTAACTCCGCAATCTTGGCGCACCTCTTCGTATCCTTCGGTTCAACCTCCCGGACCTTCCGCCGTCCTTTTGTTCTACTCTCTCCCCCGCCTTCTTTACCGGGCCGGAACGCATATCCAGGGAATCGCCGCCTGTGCTCGTCGAGCGCCGCACGCGCCTTGTCGTGCCATACCTGCCTCTCGCCCTCTGGGAGTCCCTGCCATGTCATCCCAATGATCTTGGACAGGGTCGAGTGGTTCGTTTCGACGTCGGTAGAGACATGTTGCGATTTAATAAAAGACGAGCGAAATAGAATGAAGGCATTGGGCGGGCGTGGGATATGAGTCGGAGGTTTCTTTTTACTGTGGCGGGGAGACTGGGCCGGTGACTGAGGGTGCGAAGAGGGAGATGAAGGCAGAGTCCAGACAATCTGAGTACCCATGTCGCTGGAGAGTGTTTTAGGCATCGCAAGTCGGAGGGAAGGGGTGTCGCTGGGAGAGAGTGAGAGTAAGTTGGGGGGAGGTAGGAATGATTAGATCTCGGATTTGAATGCGAACGCTGCGATTAAGAAAGGGCCCGTGAACGTGGGCTCGGAGGTCCGGCCCTGCTGAGAATTATGTAAAACGTAATCGTCTTTTTTTCCCCTTGTATTCTCTTCCCTATCCATTTGCCTGAACTCTTTCTTTGTACGGTTCCCTTGTCCCTTCCCTTATGATATACTTCCACGGAACCAAAAAAATTACTCATAATATTCACTGCCTCGTGCTAGCCAGTCATGTATGGAGAGAGGACGCAGCCTCTTGACTCAAAATCTCCACCTTATCCCCATCCATCATTACCAATTTCAATTCACCTCATGCCCACCCTAGATTCCAATCCCGTGGCGTTGTACTTTTTTTTCCCCTACTCAACTCCCCCGTGTGTCCAAGAACTCTATCAAACATTGATGTGAATAGGTATGTAAATTGTTCAGGCCGCGTGATACGAGGTGGCGTCACTCGTCTCTTGCGTAGTTAAAAACCGACAGCCACAATACTGACTGGGACCCTCTGAGATTGAGCTCGTTCCATGATCCACCCAATAGCACGATAAAAATTAGAAAATTATTAATCCCGCTTCCACCGCCGGAGTAATCACCTCAAGGCTTCGAATAAATTGTAGCTTCTTGTCCCCCCTTTGGTTAGAGGTCAGATGAATGATACGATACACCCTCTACCCACCGCACGGACCCAGATCAGACATTTTTATGGTGGCGCAACACGGGCCCTTTTCTAGCGCAAAGTAGTTTACTGATGACGAGGGCCGTCGCAAAGTAGCGGCCAGAACAAATGGAACAGGGGAAATTCAGGTATATTTCAAGTTACCGGGTATTAATCAATATGGACTCGTTCAAGTCTGGGTAAGGGGAACCACCGGAATTTTCTGATATCACTGTCTAGAAAAAATTCGGAGATATCGGATTGACAGGTGGGGTACTTGCTAGTATAATATACTAGGAGGTGAGGCGAGTCGGTATGAAGCTATGAGTCATAGCGTGGCGCAAGAACTCACATCCGCTGAAGAAGCACCCCGACGACACCGACGACATCGGCTACCAGGCGGAATGGCGCTAATCTCCAGCGTTCATCAAGTCCCGTCCCTAAATTCCTTCAAACACTCTCGGAAATATTTAACCCGCAGTGAGAAATCATAATCCAACAAAATATAGGCGCCTTGACATATTGTTGGGAGGACCCACAAATATAGGTAAGCTTTCTGATACAAGTCACTGAAGACTAGCTCGGGTTCTGATACCATCTTGAGCCCGGGTCCTTCTGATATCACACCTGATATCACACGCCGTAAAAAATCGGAGATACCGGATTGACGAGCGGACTACATCAGACAGCGAGGCGAGTCGTTAGTATGGGTCTATGAGTCATAGCGTGGCGCGAGGATTCTCACTCGATTCCGCATCCGTTCGGACGACATCGGCTAGAGCGTGATTCTCCAGTCCCTCACGAGGCAATCGAACCACGCTTAGGGTTGCTTACTCCCTATCGTCGCAAGACTCCCGGAGATACATAACACTTGGGGGGAATTAGAACTCGACATCATCACCAGCGTTCTCAACCCACAAATTGAAGTCGTCATTTTTAATTAACGTGTAGGCAAGGGGCTCGCAAAAGTAACGGGTTTCACCCAAAGAAAAATCTCTGATATATAGCAAGAACTCCCGTTCTGATACCTGATACTAGCTCGAGCCTGGGTCCTGCGCGGGATCTTCTGATATTATATCACTGCCGGAGATACGAGGTAGCTCCAAGAAGGATAGCGAAGCAAGCATTTAAGTACTTAATCAATGACCCGCCATTCTGTATTTCGTATAGAAAAACTCACTCGGAAATATCATCCTCGAGGACGAAAGAAGAACCCGACATCGCCACACGTGGAGTGTCATTCCGGAGATATGATTCTCACGTGGTGAAAGGTGTTCATAATCCCGGGTCCCGCACTCGCATATGCAGGGTCGCATGTAATCTTCCTCTTTAATTAACAACGAGGCTGGGTTCAGGGTTCGAAAAGACCTACTTTGCTCCACATATGACGAGGGAAGAGAAGTCGAGTCGGCACTCGGAAAAGCAGTCCCGGCGGCTTCGTTCTTATCGATCGATCATGTTTTTTTTTTTTTTGCTCCCATGGAGGCATCGGGGAGTAGGGATCCTCGATCGTTAGAATGGGGAGAATGGTTTCTTCGGTGAGATGGAAGGTGAGGTATAACCCCCAAGGGGAATGTACAAGGAGAAGGAGAGAGAATGTACGAGAGACTGAGGGTGAAAATGGTGCCATGGAAGGTTCGCGCGTAAGTGGTACTAGCCGTAATGTAATGTTAAACTACTAAACGGTAGGCACGTGGACGAAGAATGACCCAAGAACGAGTGTGCGAGAGTTACGCGATGGAAACAAAGCTCCAGCGGCAGACATGTACAGCTGTCGCTGATAATAACGCAACGTCAGAGGGTGTAGGAGAACGAAGTCTGATCGAATGATAGAAAGAGTTCTACTCCAGCGTTGACTTGACGATGTTACGAGAACTTAGAGAAGAGTCGCCGCAATACGATTGATAGTAATCCTAGCAACGAGAACGGCTGGAAATATTCAATGGGTTGTGGGGAAGGCGGGAAGTAGCCGGAAAGATATTGTGTCGTGGTATGGAGGGGAAGAAGAAAAATCGGTGGTTTATTTCTTTAATCTAGTTTCACCTTAAGAATGGACTGTATGACAGTCTGTAATCTCTGGTAGTATATCGGTTAGTACACGCGCCTGTCATGGATTGCATAAAATTATGCCGCGCGAAAGCTGGGTTCGACTCCCAGCCAGAGAGTGGCGTGGTAAACCACTGATTTATTTTGTCTGACAAGGACAAACCTCTTGAGTGACTCTAGTCATGCATGACTCACATTTAACTTTCGGCTTAAATCATGGTGTTTTTAACAACAGGAGACATTTTGTCCAAACAGGAGCAAGGATCGCATGACATGCATTTTACACAAGAATGCGAGCCTTCAAATTAGGGAAACTCACGTGCAGAAGTCCTGAACAATTTATGGGAACGCTGCTGACATACTGAATAAAAGCACACCTTTGGGTTGACTGCTAATCCTGACGTTCCGCTGCGGGGGTAATTGAGAGGAGCAGGAAATGCGAAACAAGATGGCAAAGCGGAGCTGATCCGGCATCACCAACAAGAGCCTAGCAGCCTCTCGAAAGCTGACAAGAGTTTTGTAACGATTGCAGTGGGAGACTTGCTGAGTAGAGAATACTGAATTGTTGACTACTAAAGCTCGAGACGAGCTCCTTAAATACTACAGAATGTATCTAGAACGTTCTACTAAAGTACTTAATTATATGCTAGTAGCGTGCCAAAATGATGGTACCGAAGGTTCGGGAATCTTCCGGCCCAAGCTTGAAGTTGCAAATCCCAACAAAGAGAGTACTCGAAGACTAAAGCTAAAGGACGACAAGGCGGTCCTCTATCAATGATCAGTTATCACAATGATCGGGAGGAAGTATTCCTGACAAAATTCTTTCGTCCGACCGGAGATCAGCGAGGGATCAGAGAATAGAGTGGGTTGCAACATACCAGTTGGGGATGAAGGTTCTGTTGTGAACTTGGTCTGCTAGTTCAATATAAGATCCTGTGAAACAGATGCGACCGGCGGCAAATACAATGTTATCTATGCACGGTTGCAGACGTTCGTGACCTAACTCGTGGTTGATGGTGAAGAATTTTTGGGGGCGTGATAAAGTTTAGTGCAGCGGAATGGTAATTAATGGGAGGAAGGACAGTTATGGGAAAATCTAACCGAAGTGAAAGAAGCGAAACATCGAGACCCATAGTTGAGATGAATATATATCACGACCGCCATACCAGGGAGAGAACAAAGTGCAAGGACCCGATCGGTGGTATTTAAATAAGAAGAGAATAGACTAGACTGACACATGTGCGAGAGGATTTTTCAAGCATGTGCGTTCGGTGGACCGCTATCAAAGGAAGCACGCAGAGCATAACGGAACATGAATTCGAGACTGGTGATTGGCCGCTATAAGAGCATGGCGTTAAGACGTGATATTCTCGTCGTCATAAATCAATAACTTCAGCCGTCGAACCACGGAGTGCCGGGGGAAGACTCACCGCTTTCATGATACAAGACTACACGTGCTGACTTTGGAGAAATACGCTGGTGCGATAAATTGGAGCGCCGTTCTTTCACGGAGGGATCGAAATGCCTAAAGCAAACAGAGGCAGACTCAAGAGACTGGTTTCCAGGGGAAAAGATCGTTTGGTATCTGCACCAGGGGACGAGTTGGAAGGCAAGGCGGTTGTAAGAAAGCCCGTGGGGGTGAATCTATGAGAGAAGCATTGGTTGTAAGAACGCCCCATCGTTCCGAGATTCATTAACACCGTTAAGGCAAGTTCAAAGACTGAGTATGAAAAAAAGGATGCTGGGAGTAGCGTGAACGGTGAGAGAAACATCGTCTCGGACCTAAGAACCATTCCTGTGTCCACATGTGACGGAGAGCGTGCTCCCTAACCCAGGCGTGGGCCTCTCTCAGATAAACGCAGAGGTTGTTATCGTTCGCACACGTTGCTTCCATAGGTGGGATCCTCGATCGTTTCAGGAAGAATGGTTGGTGCGGTACGGAGCAATAGATTGTTGATGAGCATCCCGGAACGGGCTGCTTACAGAAGAAATAGAATATGTGTTACGGAGCTTTTAGTTCGACCGCTGCATTGGAAGAGGACAATCAAAATGCCCTCCGAGTGCCCTGCAGGCTTGGGATGGGATATGATGAGGTTGAAGAGGTCCGAGGAGTGAGAATCAGGCCCGAAAACTTCATATGGAGAGTATGGAAAAGGGAACGAAGTGTATCCCCAGAGTATTAGCGAAGAGGTGGTTTGACTGGACAGGTCCTCCGGAACGTGGTTGGGAAAGAATAGGCCACGAAGGATAGTTGAACATGGGAAATGCGCGAGAGTAGAAAAATTTGAGGCACATGATAACTTGCGTGAATTAAAAAAGGGTGGCCACGAATGAAAAAAATCGACTCGTCATCATGTGCCACCAGAGGAATTTTCCAGATCTGGGCGTCCGACGAACCAAGAAATTAATCGAGTATGACAGATAAACTCTAGGTCAGTGTTGACTCAGTAACAGCTAATAATTCATCATCGATGGCACCCTCTTGCGAGAAGAGAAAGTAAAAGAGAGTTGTGAGAGTGAGAGTCTGAGTGGTACCAGCCCTTGATCTCAGGTCAAGCTAAGAGAGGTACAAGTCATTATTAAGTACTGAGGGAAGAACTACGGTCCAGATCCGGAGACAGCAATGAGCGCACAGCGTGTTTGAATCGCGCATGGGTCTGGATGGTGGCGGTTATTAATATGGATTTCCGGTCCGCTTGATCCGACATGCCCTTGTTCACGCTGCGAAAAATTATCCGCCATTAAGAGTCGCCTAACATTACTCTGTCTCTTTCGAATGTTCTTCTGTTGGGATAGCAATCCCGAGCAAGTACTAGAATGTACTCGAAGGATTGGCTTACTCAGCAGGATCAAGTTTGGACCGTGAAAGTGGACATACATAGTATTTCGTAGTAAGTTCTAGAAGTAGTACAAAATGTATTTAAGTAGGACACCTCTTGCTCGAGAGGCAAGGATTTTACCATCCTTTCTACGTTCTCCTCGCTCTCGTTACAACATCTTCACTGCATAATGCGAATATTTGGGCCTTCCTTCGGCAATTTGGTGGTTACTTGATAACCGGGGTACCTCGTACTGGATCCTCCATCTGCGATGTTTCTTCATCAATTCCAGCGCCCTTTCTCCCATTGTAGGCTCTAGTTGTGTACCAGTTAGTACACACGTTTATCATCCAAATGTTGGCCAATTTTTTATAGAAGCTGGGTTCAACTTCCAGAGTGTTCTGTCAGCTGAGAGCAGTTCTCGTTTTGTGGCTAGCTGGTCCAACCAATGATTCTGACAACCCCGCATCAATGTTTTTTTTTATATATTTTAAAAAAATTCCCTCTTTCAGCTTAAATGCCGTCCCAAAGTGCCTTTAATGAGTACTCCAGTTATGGGATGCGGGAGTTGGATGTGGTTCGTCGCGGTCAATATTAAAGCTGCAGTGGGTAAATATTCCAGAGTGTATGGCGACAATGAAATCAAAACAAGACGGCGAAATATGACATCCGATGCCCTGGATCTAAGCATCTGCTGTAATGCGCAAAAAATATATTTTCAGAAATATTCTTGGAAATGTTACCGTGCAGGTTCGATCTACTTTTTCCCATCGTACCCCTGAACTAGGCAGCTGGGAGGGTCAATTGAGGATACTTGTTGAGCTCACTATTATCAATGCTATCTTGTTTTCTAGGACCAGGCCCTGACAGAATACAAGTTTAAGTATAATCAATTCAATCAAAGACAATATTACTGTCGGCTCAGACACACCGACTGACATTGTATGAGAAATAACTGCGAAATTACAGTAAAAAATCTTGCTTACCGGTACGTTGAAAGGGTAGAACGTCAATGAGAGGCATACTGTATCAATGATCATGACCATGCTTTAGTGATGATCGAGAACAGTACTGTCACAGCACTTCTTTTGCACGACCGGGAAAAGGAGACCGGCGAGGAATTAAAATATGGCGGTGATATTGCGGAATTCAGCTTGAAGATAAAGGACCTGTTGCAAAACACGAGATCAATATTTAGCAGGTATAAGAATGGTGATGGATACAGTTAAGATACAATGTTAACTATAATAAGTGGTGAGCATCCGCGACACCGATACTACAACCGTGACTCGTGTCGATGGAGAAGTACGGACAGGATAAAGTTCGAGCAAGCATGAATCAGTTCGATCTTTGTACATCGTGGGATCGCGTGTGCAACAGTTAATTCATGACTATTGAATATGAATAAGGAGAGGCATGAAAGACAGTCTGAACTAGGAAAATAAAAGTATTATAAGAGGAGAGGAGGTTGTGTTTCCAGGAGAAGCAGACTCTACCTTCAGGCAAAGAAAGTAAAGTTTATGCACGTTCACTTACATTGCGCTTCGGGGAGAAAGGGGTCTCTGGGAAAGCAGCGCTGTTGGAGCGCTGTTTTCTTATGATTTCTCATGTACAGATACATATGGATATTCAGTCAGGACCGGGAGAATCTCCGACGGAGTTTGGGGGTGCATTCAAGAGTATCAACCAATGAACGCTCGTTCTTTGAACTATTGATTAAGCTGCAAACTTTGGTGTCGAGCATGGTTCAGTGTTGACTTGGTAACAGCATTTGAGATTCTATACGGAACAATTCAGTGCGAGTGAGAAGATCAGCTTCGAAAGAGAACAAGAAGCATGAAAGGACAATGGTTGGAAATTTGTTCATAGCAGGCGTCAAATTAAACATGTAGCAACAAATAATATGAAAATGTACAAGAATGCATGCGCTGCATGGTGGGAAAAGCCAAGAATGCAATACAATATTAATCTGGCGCAATGATCAAGGAACATTGGTACTATCTTGGCAGTAGTATATGTGTAGGAATAGCAACGATTACAGCATCCAAAGCTGAGACGGGCTTTCTGTGAACCCGAGACTTAGCAAAGTGACGGGAGGAATGGTAGTTTCACCGATAGACTCAGAGGTATAGTTGGCCCAAAGGAGGATAGCCGAGAGGGCCTGTAAATTTTTGTTGGAATGAAGTACAAGGAATTCGACAAAAGGCAAGTGTCAGGAAATCAGACTACGTAGAGCGTGTTGAGGCTTGGAATCGGCATTTGGTTTATGCTAGAGAAATACGTAGTTTTAACTTGATAGA